ATATACATACAAATACACATACATACACATATATATATACACAAATATTTTAATTTTAGTCCAGATTCCACTATGACATTATTTTTAAATACTTCTGAAATTCTTCAGTAAGTGGATGTTTTCTTTTAAATTTAGTCTGATTTAAAGATTCAGAATGTTTACATTACCTTTAAGTGAGATGAAGCTCAATAGTTTAAATTTAATTCAATAAATTAAATTGATATAATATTTGTTTCATGGATTTAGACAAGCTACTTAGCACAAAATGCTCAGAAATTCATAAAGCTATGTCAACTTGTATAAACATTGCCTAGAAAGTAATATTAAGGTATTTATACAGTTCTGTTATCACATAATATTTGGATACACCAGCAAGATTAGAAATTAATATTCCAAAATGTAGTTCTGTTTTGGAAAACATCCTTGATTAATTCAATGGGAGCTAAAAATATAGTACTTACCTTACAGACTTTCACTATCATTCTGTCACATATAGCTGAGCTACATACATCTATATACTTATACAGGTTTTGCTTGTTTTGTTCAAAAGCTGTGATAGAATTATAATAGTCTGTCGAATCGTATGACTCATATTGAACCATATGCGAACACATAGTACAAACAGAATTATGTACACACATTTATATACTTTTCATATATGTGTAAATCTTTCTGTATATGTATATATGAACTGTCACATGAAAAATACTTGTGTTAAAAATTGAAGAAACTGTTGGTATAGCCTTCTCCAACTGATGAATTTGTCTTCCCAAACTGCATTAATATCCACATTAGGAGCTGCAAAGAATTTATGTTCTCTTTCTAGCCCTGTCACACCAATTAATGACTTTGCACCAGGTACACTAATCTGCATTGCTATGGAGCCTTCACAACTAGACTGAATGTTTTTATATTTGATCAAAGCATGTATAAGAGAAAATCAAATTTTTGCCACACTGTATTGATAGAATCATGGAATTTCTGAGTCATTGACCAACAAAGCTTAATTGGAAATATTTCCTACGTGTGCAAGTATAAAGTTAACAGATAATGAATTCTCTATTACCATTCAAAAAGTTAGTATACGGGAAACAGGAGGTCAGAGTTTGTCAGCTGCAAGTTCATGTCACAAAATGTGCCTGTATCTTGTGATATCATTCTACTTATCATTATGTGGTACCTATAACACTGTTTACCTTACACTCAGTATAGAAACAACAGTATTTTGTAAAATCCAATAGATAATTTCAAAAATCACAAATTTATAATGTAGTCACAATACTGTGCTGAAATATGTATTGGGAAGAAACATAAACCAAATAAAATAGATACAGAGAACTCACTCTATTATTTATAACAGTTTTTAAAGAAAAGCTCCAAATGTTGACCTTTTTAGCTCTTTATATTTGGAATAACGAGGAAGAATTTCAACCTAATGGACAGAAAAATTTTGAAGTAGACTTTCAAAAAAAAGCACAAGAACTGTGTTTCGTCTTTATTGATTCAAAGAATGTTTACACATTATGGTATTTATCAAGGGGGAAGAAAATACCATTCTTTGATTCTATAAGACTGCATGATCAACATACTGCCTAGTGTACTTTTAGAAGGTCTTAATCAAATATTACAAAGATAAATCCAATCGAAGTTAGTGTATGGAACAAAACAAAACATTAGCTTAAAAACCGTTGCAGAGAATTAAATTTGATTTTTATTTCAAATGATATGAAAAGACCTCATAATATTAATGTTTTCTTTTAAAATTACCAAACCTATGCCTTAGGAAATATGGTATCGTATCACACTTTCCTGGAGCCACTTTATATTGTTAATGCCTGAAGAGATGGGATTATCGAGCCACATTTACTAAGAACAAAAATAAGATTCAATTTCAGTGCTCACAAGAAGCCATTAATGGTGCAGAAAGTCACTAAATAATGTATTTCTCTGTGGTACTGAAGCTTTTGCACAAGTCCAGTAAGTCCAGCAAGACAAATCTAGCAAAATTTAACTTTAAATCTAACTTTAAAGTTACATGAGCTGTTGCACTATTGCCTTTCTGTAGCAGTAGAAGGAGAATTTAAAAAGTGACTGGATTGTTTTTTATGGTTGATCAAGTAGACTGGCTGCAGCTGACTTTGTGTGTGTATACACGTACTTGTGTGTTCATATGTACAAAAGAAAAAGGGCATCAAAGGAAATGCTTACTTTTCATGCTGGCTCTAATTTGTGGAATTTGCATAACTCGGTTAAGTGCATTTATCAACCCAAGTTTTATTATGCTTCTCTTTTTTACATCTATTTCTCAAGAACATAACAGAGAGAATGTAAAAAATACAAACAGGAGCTCCTAGATCTCACTTACCTAATTACACTCAAGAGTCTGTGGAGCAAAATATGACTGATATTTTAGCGAAACCAAATTATATTTGTTGCCTCATTTTTACTGTTAATGCCCACTTTAGGTAAATCCTATATGCCTAATTCAGGAAGGAAAGTCAATGGCACAATTCATAGATGATATGCATTCTTTTTAAGTTCTGGTGCCTTGTGCTTACCATTGCTTACTCTAAACTTTCAAACATACAGGATCATTAATATTCGAATTGCTCAGAGATTTAGATGGGGTTTTGGTTGTTTGAATTGGGTTCTGTCTTAATATAGATCAAAACTGTATCAGCAATTAAAATTGAAAAGAAGCATCTCTTTGAAGAATGAGTTCATCCATATGGTCCCTTTGCTAAGATACAATTCCAAAGTGGTTGTCAATATTTTCCCTAGAAATCTGCAGAGATCTTAGAATAAAAAGTATTCATCACCTGTGAGTATTTATCTCTTAATAAAGAGCCTAGTTAATAAACTTATACTTTAAACATATGAAGTTCAGTGAAATCAATCATATTTCTCATCTATAGATGAAAACACAAGACTAAACACTTAATACAGGCTTAAAGTCTGAAGCAAAATTCATAAAGTAAAAGGAAGTGACTCTCATGATGATTGTCTGATCTTGAAGTACGTTTCAGAAATAAAACACCTGAAATATTCATGAAGTACAAGTCCTAGACTTGAAAATTACCTGGGTGGAAGATTATGAAGGCAAATGACCAAAAAGTTGTAGTCAAGGGACTTATAAAAAAGATGGGAAGCAACTCTTTGCTCAGTTGAGTACTGTCAGGGTGAGTGGGAATGGTTTTAAACTAAAAGAGCTGAGATTTAGATTGGATGTTAAGAGGAAATTTTTCACTCAGAGGGTGGTGAGGCCCTGGCACAGGCTGCCCAGAGAAGCTGTGGGTGTTGATGGCCAGGTTGGATGGGGCCCTGATCCAGTGGGTGGCATCACTGCCTATGGCAGGGGGGTTGGAACTAAATGACCTTTGTGTTCCCTTCCAACCCAGGCCATTCTATGATTCTAAGAGAGTTAGACCATAAAATATAAGAGTAAACAAAACAAAATGAAACTGTGAAATCTAGAGAAAACAAAATTTAGGGTTGTTTTTGTTGTTGTTTAATCTTAATTCTCCAGTGACTTGGAACTCTCTCAGTCATTCTATTTTCATGTTGATATCTTATAATATAAACTAAAATTATTTTTACATAAATCAATCACAGATATCTTGCATAACTATCTACCTCAAATTTAATTTTTCCTTATACTTCTCTGTATTATCTCTTTTCAGAAATTTTTGTATGTGCCTGAAAAGATTTGTAGCTTTCATAACCATTGAGCAAATCACAAAATGAATAATACTACTGTCTATAATATTGCTAATAAATCGATACTCTCCATTTTTAAAAATCTGTCCACATGACATTATATGGTGTATGATGTTAAAGGCTGAGAATGTTGATTTTATTGCAGATGCCTATTGCAATGTGCTGAATTTACTCCTCTCTTCTTTCTCATCTGGAAACAGCCTTACAATATTGTAATTCCAGAAAGCCATTAATAGCCTGCAAAATACTCGTATATGCCCAAACAGATAGATACACATCAGAAAAGGTATAAAGTAAGTAATCCCTACTGTGATTAATTTGTTGGTGGTAATCCTGCACCTTGTGATGTTAGTCAGTGTGGCAGTGTGCTGAGGTCTGAAGCAATACAAGCACCTGCTTCCTTCAAGCACATTAGATCAGTATGGTTATAGGAGTTACTGTTTGCTGTTGTTACATTTCTGCTTGATGCATTCAAGCTCTGGTTGTGCTCACCTGAGAAGCCACAGACCTTGGCATCTGTTTCTGACAAAGGGACCAAGGTTGCAAACCTTACATGCAGGCCACTTACCAACCAAATGCAATACCTATTTCCAGGGTGTCAAGTATATGAAACAAGGGAATAACTCTGACCGCAAAAGGAACAAAGTTCCATCAAAGATGTTATTTGAAGCTCTCATTTTTTTAAAGTTCCTTATGTAGTAGTGTGTTATGCCTTCAGTTAAATTCTAATGTTTTAATACATGTATGTCTGTATGCATACATGTGTATATGCATAATGAGTGTGTATGTGTGTTCTCTTCTGGTTAGCAGATATTTACAGATAATGAAGATAGTCACAAAAACTATATTTGAAACAAAAAAATGTGTCTAATGTAACACCTGAACCAACCCAAATATAAATCAGATATGAAATATGTGTTGTTTTTAATTTATATTTATATGATGTGTCTATATATGTGTGCATACACACAATTAATATGTTGTATTTACAAAACACAAATATCCCTACTACTCTATGGCAATTTTATAAAACGTGTTTGTAGAAGTTACCTTCAGCTTATATAAAAACAAGTTACTCACCAGGTTATTTCTTCAGGTTGTTCCATTGGTCCTGCCTACTCTTACCCTTTTTTGGTGTGGCTTGATACTCTCCATTCCCAGTCAGAAGTATTCATGCTGAGTTTCTTACAGATCAACAGAGATGCTGATTTCATTGTAACTAATATGCTTTCCATGACTCGTGGTTCTGTGGTTTAAAGTAGCTGTTATTTGTACACTGACAGGTACACCTACTGCGAAATGCTGGCGATGAAGTTACCATCACTGTTCAGTACCTCAGGGAAGCTCCATCATTTTTAAAGCTCCCATTAGGTAAGAGGAAATTAACTGATAGGAGTAATGTGTTTTCCTCTTTGAAGTATTCTCATAATAATGACATTGACAGAAATAAGAATTCAATCCTTGAGTGTTTTACAGCAAGAAACGAAAAATTAGTTATGTACTCTTCTGATTAACTTGTAAGAATCTAATGCATACCGCATGATTGTGTCTGTATAGTTTATTCAAAATAAAAGTGTAAAATCCACTAAATTGCAGTACAGTCACGGGTGATAGCTGGAAGTTTTTCTAAAGAAGCTTTGACTGAATGCAATAAAATAGAGTTTACAAACATTTGAGTCATGCATTCATTCTGAAAGGTATGTTGTTCTTTTCAGAAAAATAAAAAAAAAGCAGAACATTTACAGAGCAAATGGATAACATTAATTGTATATAGTTTATAAACTACTTTGATTTTTTGATCATTTTTTGTCAAAGAAGAAAATTATGGTGTTACAACTGAGTAGTTTACTGATACTGTATTGTTTATGGACAATACAGATGAGGGAAATTTTTGGTTCTTGTGGTTAGCAAATACTCTCCCTCCTTTTTCTCTGACCTCAGTGTTCATGGGGCTGTTTCTCACACTTTTTCTTCACTCCTCTCTCTGTTGTGTAGAATTTTTCCCTTACTTAAACACACTTTTTCAGAGGTGCCACCAGCTTTGCCTATTGGTGGGTCTGTTTTGGCTGGAGCTGGCTCTGTCCATCACGGGGCGGCCCCTGGCTTTTTCTCACAGAGGCCACACCTGGAGCCCCGCTGCCTTGCCACCTATACTCAGTACACATCCCGTGTGAGACAACTGCCACCTTCACATGGGAGTGCATGCAGGTCCAGGAACAAGAATTAGTGACAAATATAACAACCTAAGTATCAATTCTACTATACAACTACATGCCTCCCAACTCACACTGCAGGCAAGATTAAAGTGCATATATACATAAATCTGAAGTATCTGAGGCTTTCCTGGCATCCCAGAAGATTCACGCACATGGTCCCCTACCTCCAAGGATTCAGTCAGACCAGCTGCTACCCTAGCAGTTTTAGTATTATGGTGTGTTCACTTCAAATGCAACTGTACTGTCTCTTCCCATTAACCAGTGTTATTACTATTTCTTATAAGCACATAATCAGGAGCAGCATCTGCCTCCCTTGCTTCCTTTTCATAGCTCCTCCTTCCCTACACTGTCTCACACTGTGGGTACTAAAGACACAAGATGTCACAACAGTTGTGCCTGCAATTCTCACCACATTTGCTGGTTTCTTCACTCTTTCAGGGATTGTGAACAACTAGTATAGGTTTTGACATACTCCAGGAGCACCTGACTTAGCTTCTTCAGGGTGTACAGCTGTGTGCCTTTGAGGGCACACCCCTGTGGAGTCTGGACACTGTGATTCAGAGTCCTCTGCAGAATGAGTGGGCCAGCTAAGGAGTGGTGGGCTGAGGATAGTCCACCAGTCAGGTATCATCTTCTTGGAGCTGCGTTGCATGATCAGTAACTGTCTACTCGTTGCATTGTCTGCCCCCCATGGGATGATTCCACATCCCATGACCTGTGATCTGCTCCGAGGTGTCTTCCAGCTAGAAGGAAAACAAATACATGTTTCTGGAAACCAAAATAAGGAATTTCATTTTTTGGAGCTGTGTCAGGAGGTTAAAAGTGGATATGAGTGTTATTTCTTAGCCTGCTACAGAACATTACAGCTACAGCCCGTGGGTACCATCATTGAGGATTCTCTAGGACTAAGTCCATTACCCATCCCAGAGCTGAGCAAGACATAAGATGTTTACTGTTTTAGATAAGATACGAACTCCTGCTGGGAAGAGTCTTCGGGGCATTTTGTGGTAAATCAGGCTCTCTTAAGAATTTTTTGATTTTGGTGGTTATACCAAATTATCAGAATATCCAAAGGCTACAAAGCCTCTGTTTCTTTTTACTTTAATTTGGTGGTTGTTCTAGAATAGTCTTTTTGTCTATTGGAGGCTGTCTATGACAAATTTAGCAAGTCAGATGAATGAGCTTGTTTATTTTTTTATACAGGACATCTCCAGTATCATTCAGCAATGTTAATCGTAAGAAAAATTGTAGTGTTTTAGAGGATAAAGTCTTTCTGACTGCCTTACGTTGATATGCTCATTTTGAGGTTTTTGTTTGTTGTTTAGAGGTTCAGTGTAATTCACTGACTGAAATACATTAAAAAGATAAAACTGTTGATGAACTTTAAAATAGACTTTTCCAGGTCTACTAAGTTTAAGACTTTTAAGGTGTAATATATATATATATATACACATGTATATATATCCAGGCTTTATTAAACTAAGTAGCAGAACACCGGACTTTTTAAATTGAAAAATCTCAGTGATTCTGTCAAAAAGAATTAAAAGGTTTTATAAACAACTCCTACCTGTTCCACTGCAAATGATTTCTTGCTTTAGGTTTAGTGTCAGATAACTTGGTGATTTTCCTGAGTTACTGCTAGATCTGCAAAATCCCCTCTGGTCCTTAAGAAGTTTCTTTCACTCACCTCTGAGTTCTGGCTTTTTCTTGCCACCCTCAGGAGTATCTCGGTCTCTTTTGTGGACTGAAAAATCCTATATACTGGATATCTCTCTCTTTCTCTGGCCCTTTCACACATCACAGGGGAGGTTTTTTCCTCTGAGCACAGTCATCTGTTGCTCAGGTAAAAATCTTTCTTTCCCATACTCACAGAATCCTTTATGAGCTAGCATTCTTAAGATAACAAAAATGACACAGCTAAGAAAAAAAAATAAAAAAAAAATAAACAGATAAGACCTGTCATAGTACAAGTTCTCGTTTCTCATAGCTTGACTGCCTAACTACAATTTTGGTGGAATAAGAAGAAAGCTAGGTGATAATAATGGTTGCTGAAAGTCTCACAATATACCATGTACCTAGCTTCTGGTATCAGTCCCCACTAGTCATGGAGAGGGGAATTGTCTATACCTGATGCTTTATTTTAAAAAAGCGCTTTGTTTAGATGATTATGAACTAATGTTCCAGAGATTGAACTGGTACCCAGCACTTGATTTGGAGTCTCATCTATTTGGGCAAGAGCTATAGTAGCAAATAATATAAGATTGCTTTTTGTTAGTGTAATTTTTTGGATCGTGTATTTGCTGTGTATGTATATCCTATGTTTTGTTCTAAAAAGCCCACCTGATTGCTTTGGGACTGCCATGCCAGGAGGCAGGCAGAGCTCCTTGGAGAGATGAGAGGACTGCACCTTCCATGAAAGCAGTTGAATATAAACAGAAGCTTCCAAAATACAGAACGAGGCCATGAAGGAATAGTCCATGAGTGTGTGAGGCTGAATAAGCAGGGAGCAGACTAAACAACTTGTGAACTTCCCTGCAGGGAGGCTGAATAGTTTGTTGTGACTCAGAAAACCAAAGAAAGCTACTAAACTGAAAAGGAAAAAGTAAATCCTTCATTCAGAGTTTTGGAAATAATTGTATTTGTCTATTTTGATATGCTGAAACTGCAGAAGATGTGGGATTGGTCCACATTAAGAATCTGATCGACTCATGGACCTGTCATACATGTCTGTTCTGGGAGATAATCAAGTTCCAACAGACTCTTCCACAAGGAATTTAATGTGAAGTTTTTTATTTAAACATTTTTTTTAATAAAAAAAATAGATATCATTTTATGTTACAATAATTCCCTGTGGTCACCTACAACTCTGAACATCGATTTTTGTGGTGCACGGTAGGTTTATAGTAGCTACAAAATGCACCTGGCTACTAAGTTGGCACTTGGGTTAGACCTGTATCAGCGAAGCATAGCAGTGCCTCCTGCTGACATCATCTGAAACTATACAGAAAAGACTATGAATGAAAACATGCTGAAACTTCAGAATGCAGAGTGTAATTTTGAGATCTCAATACTGGACTGACAGAGAGTTGTTATGGAGAAAACGAGCCTTTGTTGAATTAACTTCCATTTTGCTAAATCTTTCAGATATGTGGAATAGATACATACAAAAATATATGACTTGGAATGACATTTTGACTCTTGTGATGTTAGATTTGACAGACCTATTAATGTGAAATGATTTAAAGGCAATTTCAGGTGACTTCTTCAGACAGAAAAATGAGGTTTCAGTAATGATGAATATAATGCTGTGAAACTGATTTTATGTGTTTTATTGGCAAGGCCAAGTGTATTCTGACAGTAATCGGGTATTATTGGTACTATATGTTATAATTTTGTATTTAAACAAAAATTACACAATGATGTGGCTTTGTGTTGTTTCTGTTATATTAAATGAGTTATTACATACGAATGCATTAAGCTTTCCTAGAGTCCCATTAACTGCTAAAGTAGGATCATGAATAGCTGTTTAAAGGAACAGATATCTCAAAGAATATAGCTGTGTTATATTAGAGTATTAACACAGTATCAACATTGCAAGATGACTATTTGATTTTAATTTCTTAGTTTGAGAAGGTGCATCATTCTTGAAAGTAATTGCCACTTTATGAAAAATATATATCCATTAGTAAAATGTAAGTATGTGTACTGTTAATACTTGCTTGAGAGTTTCTTATTAGCTTTGTGTATAGATACACTCTCCATAATTATACTCCAAGATGAGACTTTCAACACTGAGTAGGAAATTTATTCATTAAATTAATGGGATTTGTGTAACTGAATTTGTTACTTGATTTTGAATATCTCATTCTCAGTGAAAAAAAAAAAAAAAGGCTTAATCCTGCAAACAATTAAGCATCTAAGGTCCCATGAGCACAGCTTTTACAGAATGACAGCCTCCATAAAATGACATCCAGCTACTTTTTTCTTCTTAGACATATATTATATGATTGACACATTTTATTGTCTATCCTCCTAAAATGCAGTTTTGGTTTGGTGATTTGTATTAGAAATTCTTAACATGTTTAACATGTCTGGAATAGATATATACATATATTTTTAATATAAGCAATTATCTTTCATGATCTGATTTCCAGGTTCCCCTGGACCATCTAGTGATCACAGCAGTGGAGCTTCATCACCTCTCTTTGACAGTGGCTTACATTTAAATGGAAACTCAATTAACACTGTAAGTAAATTAATACTAAAAACATAGCATAAGTTATATAAGTTTTTGCTCCATTTTGAGCTTCAGAATGCTAATGTAACACTGCTAATGTAAGGACTGGCTTATTTTTTTTTAGTGTTTGTTTGGTTAAGCATTTTTTGTTTTGATTTTGTTTTTTTTTTATTATTTTTTTATTTGTTTTGTTGGATTTTTTTTAAGTGCCTATGCTGTAAAATTCTATATACTTGTGAAGTAGCCAACATGGTTGCTATTCTCAGTTGCTATGAGGCAACACTGATAAGCTTCTCAGAATGATCACAGCAAGGTTGGATCATTGTGTGGGGATGAACTCATGTCAATTTTTAACATATTTTGTTGAATTATAGCATTGTGCTATTAAATTTAGTAAAGATGCTGAAATGCAAATGGCATTCAGACAAGAATGTAAGGGTTGAATTATTGAAGCAAATTTTGATGAAAAGGAAAAAAGGAGGAAAAAAAATAAAATGAGAAAGCAGACTTAAAACAAGGCTATTTCTTCAATCCAGAGGATGGTCCTTTCTTACTTTTTTTCAGCAGCAAACATCTATGACTGAATTAAGTGCAGCATTGTGGGAAAAAATACATTATTTTCTCTGGGAAAGATAGAAATTGTCAAAACCAAGGAAGATAAGATGTTTTAGTAGGTGACAATGTTGCTGTCTTCTTAAAATGAAGATTGAAGATGTAAATAATAGCTGTATAAGAACAGCGGTTCATGCTGAAAACTTGATTAGCTCAACTAATTGCAGCTGTATTCTTTTCAGTTGGATATTACATTGTAAAGAATGAATGCTCTGTGAATGGAGTACAGGCTTCTGCTGACCTCTGTTGCTTTTTTTTTTTCCAGTCATGTGTCTGCTGCTTCTGTCAAGTTTTGAACATTTGACCACTACCTCTCTAAATTAATCCTTAAAGCTATTTTTCATCAGATAAATATATATATATGGTAATATATATAAGCAAATATTTATACGATAAGTAATAAAGCATTCAGTTCTGTTTTAATATCTGTACTTTAGTGCTTGGGGTCCAAACTGAGTATAGATACAGAAGATATCATGTTTATTTGTTTGCAATTATCCAGAAAATTTTTACATTTAGTTACCTTGCACTGTTGTCTTAGCAAAAACAAACAAACAAACAAACAAAGACATCTGCCATCAGGGTCCATTATTCTGCAATGCCTGTCTACCGGCTGCTATGCAGCCAAACAAGTCCTTTCTTCAAAGTGCTTGCATTATATGAAGAGGGCTATGGTCAGGTGATTTCCTCTGATTGCATTAGCATGCTTTAGCAAATTAATGCCTACTAACTGCTAAAATGTGTGCCATAATAACTTTCAATCATCATTACGACTATACAATGGGGATTGCACGCTTGGAATTCTACACATTACAAAAGTAAGTGGCTGGAGTTTTATGGACTTGTAACACAAAGTAATTCAGAGTTAGTTTCCAAGGTAGCACACAAAAGACTGCATGTAAGCTTCTGTAAAAACAGAAGGGGGAATATCGAGGTACTAACTTGTTTATATACAGCAGTTTTCTGTCTTTTTCTGAAGCTGGACAAAAAGTCATGAGAGGAACTCACACCAGACACAATGACCTACAAGTGAAGCTAAGCAAAACAATTTACATTATATGTAGCCAGTAAAAGTGTCACAATCTCACTTCATAGGAAATAAAACTAAAAATTGCCAGATTCTTTTAATGTTCAAAAGCAAGGTTCTATGTATTCTATGCTGATACGGCTGGCTTTTGAGGTAGTCCATCTTTTGGACTGACATCTATCCATCTAAGATATAGATAAGCTGTGATTAGAACTTCAGAACTGCGTGTTTTTCAGGTACCAAGTAGTGGATGCTTCTAATTTGAATTAGGTATTTTCATTTTTTCAGTAAAGGAAGAGCTGGACTGACATTCCCACTGACTGTATTGCCCAATAGGAATATTTAAACTCCATTTTAATATCATCTTGGTAAGGGAGATATGACTCACTCTGAATGATCTGTTCCATCATGTTGTATGTACCTTCCTAACCACAGTCAGATCTTTGCTATATTAATGACAATGCACATGTATTTATGAATGCTACTTCAAAAATCATACATATTAAAGGAAAGGACAGGAGGTACAGAATGATTATTATGGTAGTTTTACCAGACTGTCATTCAGCATGTCTGTTCTGAAAACCAGTAATACAGAGACACCAGAGCTAATGCTATCTCAGGCAGTAACATTTGCATGACACCAGAATATATTGTGGTGTTACTAGTTTGTATCATATAGGAAGTAGTTTAGCAGTGTTAACATCAAGCTGTCTCTGCCTAATACGATTACACCATTTTCAGTTCTCATGCTAGCTTGCCTCTGTTAGACATATCTTTATTATATCTTCTGTGAAGCATCTGTTATATGTGATTTGATATCATCTTCAGGATTTATAGAAATATTTCCTATATATTTGAGTAGTTTGCAGTAGAGTGCTTCAGAGGGCTTGCCCTGAACATAGAGAAATGAGATGAAGTGCGCTCTTCACACCTGGTTGGTTTGTGCTTAAGCAGCGTGACAAATGCTGTAGAGACTGGTAGTATCAGATACATTCATCTGTATCTGATACATGGTTTATTAATCATACTCTGAAATTTCAGGGAACATAGGTTTAGAAGAGCTACTCTCTAGGCCAGTGATTATAGTACATGTAGATGAAGGATTCTATCTACAAAACAATGGAGAAAATACTGTAGGGATAGTCTCCTAGCTGGATTTCCAAGTCAGCCCTCTGGACAAATAAACAAAGAAGACATCTGAAATAAAACCAATTGCTAAGACACTATTAAATAGTATGAAAGTTGCCATGCAAAGAGAAACCGTAGTAGTTTTTCACTTCTTTGAATATCCAAATTCCCTGAATTGTCTAAAAGTGATATTCTGATAAATGGACTAAGACTAGAATAGATCATGTAATTTAAGAATTCTAATTTAATTTTGATAGTGTACGTTAAGTTTAGTTGGTTAAATGAAATGAAACAAGCATTTAGAATTTTCTAAGTTGCTTACATGTTTATTTGTTGTTGTTTTGTTTTGTTTTTCCTTTAGTGTCTTTGTTTCATCTGTTCAATTAAAAAGTTTTGATTTAAGAAAGATGCCTACTTTAGCACCACATACAGTTTATAAAAAGGAAAAATACAGATGCCCAACATCTGGTGGGACCTATAGGTCCTATGTCTTTAACATATATGGTAGTCCTGATTTCAGAGTGAGAGAATGATACAGCTCGGTCCCAAACCAGTAGTCCCAAACCAAACCTCCCCCAAAAAGGGAAGAGAGTGCATGCAAGGTGTTGGAGACCCTCTTATTGAGGGTAAAAGCTATGCTGATGGATACTTCAATGCAGTAAGTAACCAGACCATTGAGCTGAAATGAAATGGCTGCACCACATCTAAAAGCTTCAATAATTTTATTTTTTCTGTAGTGCCTTCCAATTCAGTATAAACATGCTATTTATCATTCTTAATTTGTATTTTATTCTTCATTTTTGTCACTCTGTAGCTCACTTTAAAGAAGTTTCAAGATTTCAGATCAATATCTTTTATGTTATAGTGATTCAGTATGTGATACCAGTAGACTCTGCCAACTCCTGATCTGAAAATCCATGATTTTCTCACTGTGTATGAAAGAATTATAACTTTAAATTGACTTGTGATTCATAGTGTATCATTTGGTAATGTATTTGCATAAGAGATAATAAATCTACTAAATACAAAAAGTAGCTTAGAGAGACAGTGCTGGTTACCCTTATGAAAATAATCATCACCACGTCTTCCATTTCCTGAACAGAAAAGAAAATAGTTAAACCAGACAAACATAGCTAGCTACACTTGAACTGAATACCTTGAACTGCTTCTGTGGTGAGATCCTATATGAAAAGAGATAAAACGCACTGCAAATAAGCATACTCCCTTTTCTCCACTATAAAATATGAAACAATTTCCTTTCTACATACAGAGAAAAATAATCCAAATTTTCTGTTTGTGATGACACCTCTCAGAAGTCATATCAGTAGAAAATAAAGCTATTTGATAATAACTTCCTACTCTACTACTCTAGATCTGCTTATAAAATGCTTTTGATACTGAGTAAGGAAATTGTTTATCTGAGATTTAGAGGTTAAAAAGTGCTATGTTTCTCTGAGTTGATTAGGACTTTTGCTATGATATTCATGAAATGAATAAAAGGTGTTTTTAAAAGTCTCATCTTTTATTGATCCCTACTGTCATTGTTAATCCTTTCCATGGGTTTATTTCTTCTTCTATTTAATATGTGATTCATCAGGATAGCCATTTCTTCTGCACAGAAATTAAACACTTGTTTAATTTCCCAATCTTAATTTAAGTCATATTTTGTTCATCACATTTTGTTTTTGTTTTTTAAGGTTTTTGTTTTGTTTATTAAACTTAGAGACTTAAAAATGGTGGTGAAAGGACTTACGGCATTGAATTAAAAGGAATTCTTACTAGATACTAAATAAATGAACACTGAGCAATATGTCAGCTTTGTGACATCTAATACTAGTTTCAAAAGTACTCACTTAAGCACTGAAAGTTAAGGTAATATTCACACACAGCCCAAGAAGTTTTACAGTTTTTTAAGTGGGGATTATCCACTGTAAAAGAAATCAAAGACCAAGAAGGGTCAAATAGAAGGTTCTGGCTTTTTTGTTTATCTTTGAGAAAAAAAGTGCAGCACAATCATAATATAAATAATATGTCAAGTAAAAAAAAAAAACAAAACTGTTTTTGTAATGTATCTGTTTTCATTTTTTGATCTACCTGTTTTCCCATATACAGTTTCTTGTGAATGCATTTCTCCTATTTCTTATGAACTTGTTCATTGTAGTTTTCAGCAGCAGTGAAAAGAAAATGGCTTAGGAGATAAAGCCTAAGTTGTTTATTTTTATCAGTGCTGGTAGAAATGCGG